ATTTAGACCTCTATGACAATAATACCCTCCACTAAAAAACAAATACAAAATATAGTAGTATACATATCCTCACTGATATATGGTAAATAGGATGGACAACATATTAGAAACACGACTTAAAGTAATACAATTCAGCAACAACACCCCCTCCAAAAATGACCATGAAGGTAAATCAACACCGCTCTAAAACAGTTCAAACAGAGTGAGCTGAGTGTTATAACCTTGATGAAGATTTATTACAGGGCTGTTGAATTGGACTGCATGAATATTAGGTCGGTGTATCTTATAATCTGGCAACTGAGTGCATGAGCATGAGTTGTAAAAAGTAACAATGCTGGGAAAAGCTCATAAGCGTTTAAGACTTTACATATAGTACGTTGAGATTTGAATTCTGTACTTATTGCAGAATATTGCTGTTTGGTTGATCTGGGGAAGACGGAGCGTTTCACAGGGTCTTCCTTTGTCAGTGACCTTCCTGTCGGCGTGAGCAGCCTCGAAGTGCAGCAGTTTCAAGGTCACACATACCAACCTTGAATCTTTTGCATTCCAGAGGAACAATATTGTGTAATACCAGCCATCAACTGCAGTAAGTCCTGGTAATTTGTGCTTGTAATAGACCTGCAGTGTTCATTCCATCCTCAGACTCAGGATAGATATCTAGTTTCACTACATACATCAGTTTTTTTATATTTTGATGTACTGAAGATCAATACTACTCTCATCTGCGAGTGGTATTGATCTTCTTATATAACTTTCTATAAAAAAGAGCAAATAGGGATAATTTAACAGGAATTTAAGGAGGATTTATTGAGTTAATTGTTTTATAAATTCCTCTAAACCTATTAAGCATTTGTGTTACGTAGAAAGTAGCCTCATTTTGTCAGTGTTGTGTAACCGTAAATGTGTGCTGTGGTCTTATAATTGCACCATTAGAGCAGCAGATGATGCAAACTGTGAGCACAAAACTATTTCAATGCGCAGTCTGAGCTTAATTAAAGAAAGTTGAATCAAACAAGCTGCTCTGTGCTTCATCCTTCCCCTTTCACCTTCTCCCCACATCTATCTCCTCCCCCCCTCCTCCCTGCATCCTCTCTCAGGGCAACAACATCAACAAGCCAACTCTGATGTGAAGTTTTTCATTACATATTATCCCATGCTCCAGTACTAATTTCCAAAGGGCCTCTGGTTTGAATTTGGTTATTAGCACATCATGTGGCTTTTAGGACAAATTAAACACAGCACCTTTTTTTTTTTGACCAAAAATGGTCATTAAGGCCCCAGAAAGAGGCATGTCTTACCATATCATGCCTTTAAAAAGGGAGGCATTTACCAGCACTGGTCACAGTCTTTCCCATATGATTCATCCTTTTTTTGAACATTTCCTTTATATCCTTAAGTAATCAGGACTGTGCTGCAGGGGGGAGCCAATGTAAGAACAATGGAATTCAGATTAAGTGATACAATCCTACCATGGATTAAACAATGAGAAAGATGCTTCCTGTAGGGGGCTGCCATGGCAACACAAACAACATACACTCGTGCAAAAGAAGAGATTGGGGGGATTTCTTTAGCAATGAATAAGGTGAAATCCCTTCTAAATATTTTAGCACAGCAAGTCATATGACCTGGTTCAGCTAAAAGACGACAAGTTACATGAGGATGCACTGATGCTCATTCACATGTATTTCCCTTTTTTCCAGTTTAATTTAGAAACAGAAATTCCAGACAAATATTACAACAGTTTTCATTCAACATTTTCACTGCAGCAGTTACAGTATGTCAATAGTTAGAGATAACTGTAATTGAAAGGTCTCAAGGATCATTTAATGTGAGTTTTTCTATGCACATCTATAAAGTAAAATGAGACTGTAAAGTTTTCCAGCAACAGCTCATTACTGGCAGGAGATTCACTGCCTTATCAAAGTATGATATTTTATTCCGTTGCTGTAATGGCATGGAGCGGGAGGCACATGATACACTTGAAATGAACCCAAGCACTTTTTGGATTAGTCGTTTAATGGCCAAGTAATATGAAAGTCAAAGAAAAAAAAAAAAAAGGGTGGGGAGAGTTGCTTTGTAACACTTTTTTAAAAGTATTTCGTGGTATTTACAGTAATGGCAACAACCAGAAAAAGTTGCTTGCTGTTGTGACTGACAGAAAATACAGGCCTGAAATAATCACAGTAGCTATGTTTAAGTTTTAATTTTATTGAGGTAGAAGAAACATTCAGCAGCAGTGCATAGCAATTTAAGTTGTTTGTTTAAAAGGTGAAAATGGAAGTCAAGATTAATTTATGCTCGGTTGCTCATCATTCTATTGTAACACTATTGATGAAGGAGCAAAGACTGTTAAATAAACTGCAGCTTCGGGCCAGCATGCAGTGTCAGCACTGGGCGGCCAGAAATTCTGCACCATCATGGATACCACACCTTTTACCACACAATTAACGCACCAAATGTCTACTGAGAATAAGTTTGGCATGTTTCAACATCTGTATCTCACTAACGCTTTTAGTGCAACACAATGCAGACTGTTTTCTTTTAGGGTGGAGCATCAAAGCAACTGATATTCACCAAGCATGAAAAAAAAGCCTCTCCACTGGCTAATTGTGTGGCAGATAAGGTCAGTGGAAGATAATGGTCAAATCCATGTTGGTGGAAAACAGTTTTTTAAAATCTCAGTTTCTCATCCAGTTTGCCAGGAAAGCAAAGCAGAATTAGTCACAGGAAGTCAACAGCCTTTGGTACAGGGGCTTTCCAGTGTTGCTATGAAGGACCACAAATATACTTTTACCCCAGAGAAGTGACTGTGTGTTTGTGTGTGTGAGATGGAGGAAATTACACATTAAACTGGACTGGTGTCCAAATCACTGACTGGCCATAGAATATCTTTGGGCTTATGATGTTTTGGGTTTGTGTGTGTTTGTGTGCGCTGACAGAATATACAATAGATGCATGAGCTTGCATGTGCAGCTTTGTCCTCCCCATCCAGTTGGATCAGTATTTATCCCCTGACCGGGTGTGAAGTGAAGCAACAGTTTGGGGGTCTGCCCATTTGAAATTGTTTTTTTCAACCCTAGCCCACAGAGAAAAAGTTAATGAGTTTTCAGGATGACTAACTAGCACACCATTCAGTCTGTGTCTTTTCTGAGATCAGAACAAATCTGAGCTAAGATCTTTTTTTAGGTCAATTAAAGATGAAAGATTAGCTCAACCAAATCTTCATGGGAACATTTTGAAGTTTTACATATCGGGAGAACCTTCCATAAAAGAGGAACATTATGTACAGCAGATAAAGGACATTTTTCTAAGACACAAAGAGCAGAAAAGCTCTTGGGAAAGCTTTTAACATTTTAAACAAAAATAAATCCCCCAAAGAAAACACAGGATAACAAAGCCCCATTGACATAAAATGCAACAATTTCTGCAACTTGTATTTCCGTCCTACTATGCATTCAGTGGCCATTTCCTTCACCATAACTGAGTTTAAAGGTTCATGTAGTGGTTGACATTTTGTGTAAATCATTTTATGCATGAAAATAATATAATTTTAATATAATATAAATTGTTTCAGCAACATGCTTAAAAGAAAATTCTATAACTGCTGTATATTTTGCATTTGGAAATTCACTGCAGATGTACCGCTCAACCAACGTCAGACGGTTAGCCGCTGTCTGACATTTCTCTCGTATCTAGGCAACACAGCACCTTAAAGGCACATCCCAATTTCAGCTTCTACACGATGACAATGCCAACATGCTGATATTTTGCAGGTATAATGTTTACCATGTTCACCAGCTTAGTTTAGCGTGTTAATGTATTAACATGTGCTAACTAGGGCTAATCCATCTAGCAGATCTTGTGACATTTCACAGGATAAGGAAACAGTTTGACTTGCTAGTAGAGCTACAGGAAAAGTCAGGGGATCAACAAGACAAAACAAAGGGAATTGTCCTGTTGGCTCAGATAATAGCCATACCAAATATTGGAACAATTCATCCAGTAGTTATTGATATTTTTCAGTCTGGACCCAATTGGTGGCCCAAAAGACCAATCAACATCGCCATCCCTACAACCAGGCTGTTATTGTGACCCAGAAGTCAAGAAGCTGGACAAGAAAGAAACACAGCACAGCAGCTTTTACTGAAGCAGAGTCCGTATTACTCCACTCATTAATCCAGGCCTGATGTCATGCTGAACCAGTGTTTTGCACAATTTAGTAGCTACAGAAGGGACTTCAACTTCCTATGGCAGCGGAAGCACACCAAACATGAAGATCATCTGCTTGAGACATTCTCTAAATTTTATATCACACTCATGAGACCTGCTTCACCACCAGCAGTCACAGCAAGGACCGCACAACACGCTGACACAATACTGTCAGCTCTCTCTGTGCCTGGATCATGTAATCTTGGAAACTGTGAGCCGCCACAGACTGAGCACCAGCGGCTCGCCAAGCCACATAATAGGAGCCTCCCACCAGAGGAACGTGCTGGGAGCATAAGCTCATGTTGGACAGCTGGCTGTGCTGCATCACGCAGAGGAGACAAATTATTAGAGTGGGTCAATCATGTCTTCCTATGTATCATTATTTAAATAATGGTCTGTTAAATCTGTGTTTTTCTCACTTTGGTAACTAATGTTTTACCAGGACATTAACATTTCTCCATTAGATTTTCTTTGTTTTAAATTGGAGTTCCTGTGGGAGAACAGCAGTTCTTTGTCTGTTGCTATCTTTGTTCATGGTGTTCACAAAGCTTTTCATGTGCTGCTGTGCTGTTTGAAATGCAAAGTATGACAGTTCCTGTGTGCCAGAAGATCTTCCCTGGAAAAATACATATCTTACATCAAGAGTTTATGACGGCAAATTGAAGAGCTTTCAGGAACTGAGTATGGGTGTTGTTATGCCCCTGTCTAGGGGGAAGGAGCGCCACATAAATGTGTGATGAAAATGAACCAAGAATCCTACCCCGATTCCCAAACGAACAACTAACACAGTGTTAACAATCAAGTGATGTGATTTATTTACAAACAGGTGAAACAAAGTGCAACAAAGACTAAACAACAAACTTCAGGGTGAACCAAGGCCAAAACAACAAACAAAACAGGGCTAACTTCCTTAAACAAAAATCCTTACTAATCCCTATGCAATATAAATAAAATACAGTTACTAAACCTAACTCCCTATCCTAATGAAAAACAGGAGAAAAGTAGTACAAAGAAAATGGCAGCTCACCCTTACGATACTCACTAAACACAATCATACAAAAACACTATCTACTAAGATCCTAACAATTCACGCTATCGCAAAAACACACACTCTACAACCGAGGACAGAAGGATGCTGCTGCTGAAGGTTCTGTCGAAGAGCTTCGGTGTGGTGCGGCGTTTTGAATCCCCGGCGGATGTTGCGGCTCCCTGGGAGAACCAACCAGCAGGCGACACTCCACCAGCCGAGCCCACGGCATGGACCAGTCAGCGCTGACCTACGGGTTGCCGTCAAAGATCTGACAATCGACAGGCTGCACACTCCTGCAGAGGAACAGGGACAAAAACACCAACACACACCACAGACGAACCCAATACCATGACATAATACTAATAATACGGCCAGGGCCGTAACACCCCCCTTCCTAAAAATCAAACATTTATGTGGCGCTCCTTCCCCCTAGACAGGGGCGTAACATAAATTGGGGGCTCGTCCGGGAATTGAACCCGGGACCTCTCGCCCCTCCCGTATCCTTATTTTGTTAAATCTATGGTACAGAAATGCCATACCTTTATATTTAAGAAAATAATGTGGGTTATTGTATAAAATTTCTTGTTGCATTGGACATAAACTAAAGTAACTCATTCAGTTAGCTAAACAGTAAATGATCTTAGTCTTAAGTGTGATTACTGACAAGTGTCGTGTTGTGTTGAAAATGGCTCATTTCTTTGTCACAAAGCTGAATAGAAGTTGGTTTAAATGAAACCAGACCAGTTTGCTGGTCTCTATATTCTTGGGTGGCATTCAATGCTCTGTGAACACTTAGTTACCCTGAATACACTGGCTGTCTGCATACAACACACTAAAACACTTCCAAATGGAGTGTGTGTGTGTGTGTGTGTGTGTGTGTGTGTCTGTCTGTCTGTCTGTCTGTCTGTCTGTCTGTCTGTGGGGTGTAACTGTAAACAGAAACTCATTGGGCTACAGCCTGAAAAACAAGAGGTCACAATAGAATAGAAGAGATTATAGACAAATACAACAGAAATACAACATAGAACTTAACATAGAAATCAAATATGCATTCATAGTTTATACCAAGATGATTAGTGATTGTTTATTTATTTATGTATTTATTTGGTTTATATTTATGAAGTTATAACACCTAGATGAGAATTAACTCCATATTACCACTTGCAATCTAGCATAATCCAAAATAAAAAAAAACATTATTTAACTTTTCTGCAATGAAAAAATGATGCAGCTATTACTTACAATTTCTCCGAAGAGCTTGGAAGTGCAGCGCTGCCTGAGAGGCTCAACTCAACTGGGAGTGTCACTTTTGTACCACTAGAGGGAGCCACGTTCCAGGATAAAGTCTCCTAATAAACATTTTCAAAGGAAATATACTGTTCATGACAAAATTTGCATTTAAAATTAGTCTTGTAAGACATGAGAGTTCAGATTGAAACAATTAACACAGCTTAGAGTGATGTACAATAGCTTATGTTTAAAAATTGTTACCTATAGTACATTAATGTACAGTAATGACTCCGGTCGGACATTTATCTTTAACCATCAGTAAATATTGTGATTTACTGGTCACTGGACTACTTCTGTTCACATGGCTGTGAGATGAATCATCTGGATGATCTGCACAATATCAGCTATTCCCACATCCTGCACATGTGCTAATAAATCCCCCCCAACATTAACACAGATGCACAGAGAGGAAAAAATAACACAGGAGATATGAGGATGAGTCACAGCCTGGAGAGAATGGAGGGATGAAAAGCAGAGGAGAAATGCTTCAATAGCATTTGGAAGAGGCATAGCAAACACAGAGAGGGATGAAAGCAGTAATCAGGGGAGATCAGGAGAAACTGAGAAGTTGATGGAGAGCACTTCAGTATTGATCAGTCATATTCATTATCTGATGAAAAAGGGAGGGAGGGATGAGATAATATGAGTCCAAGAGTACAGGGAGAAGAAATAATGGTGATGGGTGATGGATGAGTAGGTAAGGGATCAGAAGAGGCCAGGACTGGATGTTTAAAAATAAATATATCATTAAAGGAGAAGAGTCCCTGGGCAGGTCAACACAAAAATGTATTACTTTGTATTTCGAGAAATATATGTCAAGTTTATTCCCTTTCTAACGCTTACATTATAACATTGTTTAATTCTGTTCACCTGTGGGGTCAGCACACTGGTTTCTGCAAATAATGCAATATTTGTACGGTATGCAAGGAGAAAAGAATCATACAGAAGAAAAAAGAACAAAAACATAATCTACCTATTTATACTTCAATCATCATGATACAGTATAATGTGATACAGCAGTTCTCCATCATTAAACAGCGTGGAGGTTCAACACAAAGAAATACAGATCTGAATAAATAAAAAATAAAAAAATCTTAATCCAGACATCTCATGTCAAGGACCAGGTTCCAGGAAGATTCTCTCCTCTCCACTGTACCTCCCAGTAACATGGCCCGGGCAGAGCTGATGCTGCTGCTTCAACCTCTCTGGATCATCAGATCTGATCGTTTCTTAAAACAAACATCCTTCTCATCACTCAGACTCGGACAGAGATCACCTCCAGCTGAGGAGAGAGGAAGACAGACAAGAGAAGTCATAAATCAGTGTTTACAGAGACTCTTTTACCAGTCTGTAAAAGCACATCCAGTATAAAGACCAGCAGGGACTTCAGTCAAGTTCAGACCAGAAGTGGAACGGCTGTGTGGCGTAGCCCGCTTCCTTTCAGCTCTCATGTTAATGTATTGGAGTGAACACACTGAGCTGCAAACTCACAGACCTGCAGAGACTTTGGGCATCAAGTCTGTTTACTCTGTAGATTTCAATGAAATGCACAATTTAAATTAACTGCTGAGAGTCCCTGAACGGATCATTGCTACAGAAACAAAGAGATATTCACTGCTCCCTTTAATAAACGTTTTACTACTGTAAGCGTTCAAAGCTGTTTAAACCAGCATCTTAGTCACATTTGAATATTTCATTTACTTTTGAAATATTACAAAACAAATATGTAAATATGGAGTCTGTGAAAATAATTTATATAATATTTTTTTGACAAAAAAAGGGCACATGGACAGATATTATATCTTATATATATTATACATGTTCCAGACTAAACAGATTAAAAAAAAAATGCAATGACAAACCATGACAAACTCCAACCCTCTACTGACCTCACAGTCTCCAGTCTACAGTGTGGACTCTTCTCCAGATCAGACAGCAACTTTACATCTGAATCCTTCAGGTTGTTTCTTCCCAGCTCCAGCTTTATCAGATGGGAGGGGTTGGACTTCAGAGCTAAGGCCAGAGAATTACAGCCGATCTCTGACAAACTGCATTCGTTCAATCTGAATAAAAAATTAACGGCATAAATACTGTAGACAATGTTCCTGCTTGAACTTGTTCAATGTTTAATAATCTGTTCAGACGTGAAAAAGGTTAAGAATTTACAGCCATTTAAGGTCAAGTTTACGTGAAAGAGATTTTTTATCTACTTGAACATTTATGGATTTTTTATTATAATAAAAATATAATTTATTTAAACAAAACTTGATGTGTGCTGCAGCGGCCCAGGGTTCGATTCCGACCTGCGGCCCTTTGCTGCGTGTCATCCCCTCTCTCTCTCTGCCCCCCTTTCCTGTCCGTCTTCAGCTGTCACTATAATAAAGGCAATAAAAGCCTAAAAAAATATACTTTAAAAAAAAAATTAAAAATGTATGTGGATTATACAAGTCTCTGTGTAGATTGTTCTTGTTATATTTACGTTTTAAATGTGTAGCTCAACATTGCTCTGCCATAGTCAATGGACTGAATTCCCAAATAAAAAAACTGACTTTAGAATTAAGATACTCAGTGTGGATCAGTATAATATTAGTGTTATGTCTGCTGTTTAGTGTCTCCACAACTTAAACATCATATCACTCAGAACAAAAGTTAAAAACAGTGTCTGACCTCAGAGTCTGCAGTCTACAGTGTGGACTCTTCAGAAAACCACACAGCAGCTTCACTCCTGAATCCTGCAGCATTTTGTTGAGATTGAAGTCCAACTCTTTCATATGGGAAGGGTTGGACTTCAGAGCTGAGGCCAGAGAAGCGCAGCTGACCTTTGACAAACCGCAGTTACTCAATCTGAATAAAGAAAAAAATATGCAGATAAACATCAATTTATAAACACAGATGTGTTTAGTTTAGTTGTTTAAATGTGCTCAAAATTAATACTATATGTCCTAATTAACAACTTGTGTATAAACGTCATCGTGTTATTGTGGATCATCATAATTTAACCCTTCTACAGACATCATTCGAATGTCACCACAACATTCATACACCTGTTCATGTCAGCACAGATTAATAATGCTGATCTCACTCGTGTCTAGAATTAGAGAAGGAGTGCTATATTTATCCTTTATAAATCTGCATTTGGAAGTATGGTTTAATCTCTCTCCATCCCTTTATATGTGTATGCCTTCTGAAGTATCTATATCAATCATACATTTGTGAAAATACATAAAAATCAATGGAAACAAAAGAAATATTTCTACTTCAGCAAGTAACCAGAAAACATAAGTCTTTCAACTTCAGTTATGTATGAACAAACATTAGGTCCAATTGTTAATTATCCATACAAGATCTACAATAAGATAGTCAGTAGCTAACCCCAGAGTTTCCAGTACACAGTGTGGACTCTCCAGAAAACCACACAGCAGCTTCATTCCTGAATCCTGCAGGTTGTTGTCAGTCAGTAACAGCTCTCTCAGATGGGAGGGGTTGGACTTCAGAGCTGAGGCCAGAGAAGCACAGCTGATCTCTGACAAACTGCAGCCCCAAATACTGAATAAAAAATAAATTTTCAATCACTTTAGATTACAGTGTTTATGCTTGAAATTATGTTATGTTTAAGAACCTTTTCAGAGCCAAAGTAGATTTAATTATAGAAGTTTAGAAAATGTAAATCAAATCTTATTTCAGTTCAGCACAGAAGTAAAAAAAAGGTGTCTGACCCCAGAGTCTCCAGTCTACAATGTCGACTTCCCAGAAAAGCACACAGCAGCTTCACTCCTGAATCTTGCAGCTTTTTGTTGTAACTCAGGTCCAAATCTCTCAGATGGGAGGGGTTGGTCTGTAGAGCTGAGACCAGAGATGCACAGCTGATCTGTGACAAACTGCACCCCATCAATCTGAATTAAGAACAAATGAGGTAGATAAACATACATTTAAAGTCAGATATGTTCAGGTTTTAAATGTGTAGCTCAACAAATGAGCTTTCCCCTTAAATGAGTAGAGGGACTTTGTCATTGTGTTATTGTTGATCAATGTGTGTGTGTGTGTGTGTGTGTGTGTGTGTGTGTGTGTGTATGTTCTGAATGACCAATAATCAATAACCACTGACATTATTGTGAAAGCACATTAAAAAAAATACAGGTTCAGAAGCTCTTCTGCATACAGATGTGACAATTTGTCAAAAATCATAATAAACAACTGGACATTTTCTTAAAATTAGTTACAAATGTAGTACAAAATATTAACAATATTAAATGTACAACTTTCTAGATATAAGTTATAGATGAACATCAATTCATTAATGAAATATTTAATATCTACAATAGTATCACTCAGATCAGTGAACTGACCTCAGCGTCTCCAGTCTACAGTGTGGACTCTTCAGAAAGTCACACAGCAGCTTCACTCCAAAATCTTGCAGCTTGTTGTGACTCAGCTGCAGCTCTTTCAAATGGGAGGGGTTGGACTTCAGAGCTGAGGCCATAGAAGCACAACCAATATCTGTCAAACTGCAGTACATCAATCTAAAGGATAGATGAAGTCACTTTAGAAGACAATATTCCTGCTTGAACACATGCCGTGTTTAATAATCTGTTCATAGCTGAAGGTAAAATACAAAAGTTAATAAAGCGCTCCCTCTGATTAATCAGTTAGAAATCCACAGAAATTGATTTTAGATTTGATGATACCAATTATGTCAGAATGCATTTTTGGGGGAATTTGAAAAATTGGGATATCTTTTGGGAATAGTGGTGTCAATAAATTAAAGCATTTTCAGTTTAAGTAATGTACTGTATAAGCATCATATAGCCTAACCTGCTAAAAAATCGTGGAAAAGGCAAAATTCTGAATATATTTGTTATTGTGAAATATTGATTTATTCATTTGTCTAATTAAAAACATACATGATAGGCATTCTAAATTGAAAATCAAGTGCAAAAGGTTTAGAGTGAATTATCAAGTGTTTTAAAGTTTTTTCTTTGTATATCTAAGTTTTGAAAAGTTATATATATATATATCCAAGATTCAAAATATTAATATACCAGCGAACAATGAAAGGTCCCATCTATAGCCAGTATTTGGTTTGTCTGTGCTGGGCTGCTGTAGAAACATGGTGGTTAAAAATGGCAGCTTTCATGAAGGAGGACCCGCTCCCTCTTTCGTTCTAAGGTAATGAAAGCACAACAATTCTTATTTTGATGAATGAAAACATACCTGTGAATATTATATTTCACTTTTGCCAATTAAACCTCCTAAATGTTACTTTACCTGGACCTTTAAGATTCTCAGTTTCTGATCAATATTATATCAACCTTATGTCTGCAGTTTAGTGTCACCACATCTTTCACATCACATTAATCAAAGCACAAATGTAAAAAATTGTTTCTCACCTCAGAGTCTCAAGTCGACAGTACGGACTCTCCAAAAAACCACACAGCATCTTCAGTCCTGAATCCTGCAGCTTTTCGTTGTGACTCAGGTGCAGCTCTTTCAGATAGGAGGCATTGGACTTCAGGGCTGAGCCCAGATAAGTGCAGCTGGCCTTTGATAACTTGCAATACATTAATCTGAATAAAGAATAAATGATGTAGTTAAAATCAATTTATAATTCAATTAGATGTGTTCAGGTTTTAAATGTGTCTCAGCACTAGTAAGTACTAATCAATGAGTTTTTCTCTAAAATGAGTAGAGTGACTTTGTCATTGTGTTATGGTGAATCATCATGTCACCACACCTATTAATGTCAACACAGATCAATAACATACTGCTAAACTCAGTTTCCTCGCTTTCATAATAGTCGTGTCACTTTACGAAAAAGACAGATATTTCTGTAGAATTCCAAAATAGCCAATATGAAATAAAGACTTAATGAAATACATAATAATTAAGGTATGTTGGAAACTTTAGAAACCCCTGTCCCAGCACCCACAGATTTAGACTATCCTCACCACAATTGTCATCTCCAACAGCTCACAGCGGACTGACTGCCATGAGCAAATGAGAGGCATTTTCTCTGGGGCGGCTGTGGCTCAGAGGTAGAGTGGGTCATCCACTAATCAGAAGGTTAGCAGTCTGAACGCGGCTCCTCCGGCTGCATGTCGAAGTGTCCTTGAGCAAGACACTGAACCCCAAATTGCTCAGTGTGAATGTGTGTGTGAATGTGGCATGTAGTTTAAAGTGCTTTGCGTGGTTAAAAAGACTAGAAAGGTATTATATAGTCCATTAACCTTTTAATCTTAAAAGCGCAATACGTCCAGAATTTTCAACAGCTAAGAAATTGTGTCACACATGTAACTTGCATAGATAGCTACTGAAATTAGAATTCTAACCAGACTAGCTGTAGCCCGTTATACTACTTGTGTCTTATGAGGCCAAAGGTGGGAAAGCAGGCAAAGCAGAGAATCAGAGCTGCTGCTAGCTGACAGACAGCGGCTGTTTCTGGGGAGAGAGCTGGGGAGGAAAAGGCATATGCATGGAGGAATAATATATAATAATAATAATAATAATAATAATAATAATAATATCTTTAATATCTTTACTCTTGTGTAATATGCAACTACTCCACTAGATGCCATTAAATGGACGTTTAGGGTTAAGTGTAAAAAGACAATATTCCTGAAAATGTGTTGAAATTATTTTATATTTGACATATATATTGACGTGTCTCACATGTAACAAATATGATAAATATTAGGATATTTTAGGATTTTATTGATCCAATTTGAGTACAGACTAAATTCAGAGGCAAACTGATTAAGCTGACAGACTTTTCAAGAGCTCTCTGATTTGTGCTCAGACAAACCCAGAAAACAAGAAAACTGAAGGGAATTCAAAACTTCTGTTGTGGATTAAATGTGGTAGCTTTACACTGTTCAAGAGCAAAGTACACAGACTGACCTCAAAATCTCCAGTCTACAGTGTGGACTTTCCAGTCCAGCCGACAGCAGCTTCACTCCTGTATCCTGCAGGTGCGCGTTCTGACTCAGATCCAGCTCACGTAGATGGGAGGGGTTGGACTTCAGAGCTGAGGCTACAACTTCACAGTGAGTCGCTGAGAGACTACCGTTACAAAGTCTGCGATTGAAGAGAAAATAAAACTTTTAGGATATTAAAATCTGACATTTGATCTGAATGATGGCATATAATGTTAATCAAATTCTGACATACAGAGCTTTTCTGCAGTTCCTCACAGCTGGAATCAGTCTCAGTCGTCCCTCTTCAGTTGTGTTGTACTTCTTCAGGTCCAACTCATCCAAAACTTCCTCTGTCATCTGGAGCATGTAGGCCAGAGCTGAACAGTGGATTGCAGAGAGTTTCTTCTTTGATCTGTTCTCTGACTTCAGGAACTCTTGGATCTCCTGATGGATTGAGTGGTCGTTCATCTCCATCAGACAGTGGAAGATGTTGATGCTTCTGTCAGGAGAGATTGTTGTGTTCTTCTCCTTCAAGTTGTTGATAGCTCTCTGGATGATTTCTGGACTGTTGTCTGTCCGACCCAGCAGGCCTCCTAAGAGTCTCTGGTTGGACTCCAGAGAGAGGCCATGAAGGAAGCGAACAAACAAGTCCAGGTGGCCATTTTTACTTTCAAGGGATTTCATCATGGCTTCCATTAGGAATTCATCCAGGGTTATATCAATGTATGTTTTTCCTAAGAAATCCTTCAGTACCTTTGTGTTCTTGTTGGTGTAACAGTGGAACAAGTAGACTGCAGCCAGAAACTCCTGAATGCTCAGATGAACAAAGCAGTAGACTGTTTTCTTGAAGATCACACTCTCTCTTTTGAAGATCTCTGTACAAACTCCAGAGTACACAGATGCCTCTGTGACATCAATACCACACTTCTCCAGATCTTTTTGGTAGAACATGATGTTTCCTTTCTGAAGATGTTCAAACGCCAACCTCCCCAGCTTAAGAAGAACTTCTCTGTCAGCCTCCATCAACTCCTGTGGACTAATCTCATGGCCATCAGAATACTTCTGCTTCTTCCTCTTTGTCTGAACCAGCAGGAAGTGTGAGTACATGTCAGTCAGGGTCTTAGGTAGCGGTCCACTTTGGTTTGTAGTCAACATGTGGTCCAGAACTGTAGCAGAGATCCAGCAGAAGACTGGGATTAGACACATGATGTGGAGGCTCCTGGAGGTCTTGATGTGTGAGATGATTCTGCTGGACAGATCTTCATCACTGAATCTCCTCCTGAAGTACTCCTCCTTCTGGGAATCAGTGAAGCCTCGAACTTCTGTTATCCTGTCAATATATGAAGGAGGGATCTGATTGGCTGCTGCAGGTCGGGAAGTTATCCAGACGAGAGCCGAGGGAAGCAGTTTCCCCTTGATGAGGTTTGTCAACAGCATGTTTACAGGTGACTTCTGTGTGACATCAGACACAACCTTTTTCTTCTTGAAATCCAGTGAAAGTCTGCTTTCATCCAGGCCGTCAAAGATGAACAAAAGTTTACAGACAGTGAGCTTCTTTGCTGTGACCTTCTGTAATGTTGGATGGAAAACATGGAGCAGCCTGAGAAGACTGTATTGCTCATCTTTGATCAGGTTCAGCTCCCTGAACGAAAACAGAATCACCAGACTGACATCTTGGTTTTCCAAACCCTCTGCCCAGTCCAGAGTGAACTTCCGCACTGAGAAGGTTTTTCCGACGCCAGCAACACCATTCGTCAGTACGACTCTGATGTGTTTCTGTTGGTCAGGTAAGGTTTTAAAGATGTCGTGGCACATGATTGGAGTGTCATGGAGGGTCTCCATCTTGGAAGCTGTCTCAAGCTGCTTCACTTCATGTTGGCTATTAACCTCTTCACTCTGTCCCTCTGTGATGTAGAGCTCAGTGTAGATCCTATTGAGGAGGGTTCCACTTCCCGCTTCATCGGTTCCTTCAGTCACATATTTACATCTCCTCCTCAGACTGATCTTATGTTCATCAAAAACCTGCAGACCACCACTCACTAGAAGAAAAAAGTTTGAAACGAAACAATGACTGGTTTGCTGGTTGAAAAACTTCTATATGAAGCAATGGCAGGAAATGTTGAGTTTACATCAGCTGCAAATTAACAAAGTGTATGTTTGTTCACTTTTTAACAGTTTTTGGTTATGTAGAGCTTTACACACTGTTTATGAACTTTTTTTTGTCTTATGTTTGTTCAACAAAATCATGACTGTTTCCTGTAATGGAATGAGCACCCCACTGACATCAGGACAGCAGAAACTGTACACATCTTCATCCTGAAAACCTGAAGACTAAATGTAGCACTTGAAGCAGTTCAACCTATTTGATGAAGCCGAAATAAATGCATGATTCTTGCAATGGTTATTGGTTATGGTTACTTATCGTAAGACTGTAGATGAACGTAATGTAATAAAATGTAGTATGTTACATTTTTAAGAGGTACAGATGTGCAATCTTACTTTGTATGGTGCTGGTCTGCAGTCCTGGTCTTGTTCTGAATCTTTCTCCACACTGAGGACAGGAGGAGTATGAGATGATGCACTGTCTGCAGAAGCAGTGTCCACAGCTGATAGACACTGGATCCTTCAAGACATCCCGACACAAAGCACAGCAGCACAGCTGCCGCTCCACAGAGACATGAGCCCTCTTCCTTTCTCTGTGAAAAAATTTCTCTGTAACTAAAAATGATTTATTTAATCGGTGTTGAAAAATATCAAGATTTGGCCGACATTATCCTGAAACTTAGGTGATGGCCACAGAAAACAGTAGGAAGATATCTTTCCCTGTCCTGGTCCTCTCCGCTGCTGATGTGACTGCAGCCAAATAATGCTTTGCTCTTTAATGCTATCAAGTTTTTCTCTTTTTTATGGAGTTTCCCCAACCCCTTTTCTTTACATTTTCAGTTGTTATGGATGGAATTGCAACATGTTCCTGATTCTTCCCTGCACCTTTACATACATATACCCTTACATGCAATGAAAGTGCAGAAAAATAAAAACTAACAATTTAACTTCATAGCTTAATAGCTTGAATAAAATGTTCTCTTGGAAATGCATTAAAATGTGAGTCTAACATATGTTTCACCTATTTGCTACTGTCTGAAAAAGGTTCATTAGTATTTAATATATAAAAATGCAATGGCAAGACAAGTAAAGGTAATTTTAGTAGAGTATTTAGGCCAGTCTGTCTGAGTTGCATGCCCAATATCCATTTAGTTTGAAACAGTATTTGCACTAATATGCATCATGAATATAAATCTTTTAGCATTTTGTCTTCACCCTTCAGTAAAAATGGTCTTACTTTGTGTCTGAGGGTCCAGGTTTATGACTGTAGAATGGAGGTTCATCTTTGGAAAAGTCACTCTTGATAGACAAACAGCTGGATACTAGAGACTCGGCTCCCTGTCTGTTGTACTGAACCCTGCAAACACCAAAATGTTTTTCTTCATGAATCCTTGATAAATCCTCTGAAGACAAAGCCACGTAGAAAGCTCTAAATACACAAATTACTGCTACTCTCAGTAACTAGGAGGTTTAAAAGTTTATAGTAGTTATTGTAGATTAGATTACAACCATTTTGTGGTGATTGACAGTATGTCACAAAAAATATTTAAATTATAAATATATATATATTTTAAGAATATTTAATAGTATACAAACACAACAAATCAACAAAAATTATGGCATTGGCAGAGGGAACTGAAAATTAGTTAGGAGCAGTTATCTTACTTTGTGTCTGAGGGTCCAGGTTTATTACTGAAGAATGGAGGTTCATCTTTGGAAAAGTCACTCTTCATAGACAGATGGCTGGATAGTGGAGACTGTGTTCTTTGTTTGTGGTACTGGATTCTGCTGCAAACAACAAGATTTTATTATTCAAAGCACATGAATCCTTTATACATTTTCTGAAGATAAAGTCATATACATTGCTCTAAATTAACAAACTACTGCTGCTGTCAGTAATTAGGAGGTTATAAATTTGTATAAATCCTCTTAGATTAGATTACACATTGTCTATGTGACTGGTAGCTGTCACAGATACTCAGAGAAATATGGCATGAATGATTTCTCTTTGTGTCACAAAATGTTGGTTAAATTTTAGTTAGCAAATACATTTGGGAGACATTTTTATATTCAAACAAAATCAACAGAAATCATGGCATTCACCGACGTAACTGAAAATGGGTTAGTCAGTTATCTTACTTTGTGTCTGAGGGTCTAGGTTCATTACGGAAGAACGGAGGTTCATCCTTAGAAAAGTCACTTTTCATTGACAGGCTGGATATTGGAGATTCTGCTCTCAGTCTGTGGTGCTGAACTCTGCAAACACCAAGATGTTTTTCTTCAAAGCACATTTCTAAATCCTCTGAAGATAAAGTCATTTAGAAAATAAATAAACTATTGCTGCTGTCAGTAATTATGATGTTTAGAAGTTTGTAAATTATACATTTTCTATGTGACTGACAGCTGGCATGGATACTCAAAGAAAGATGGTATGAATTATTTCTCTTTATGTCACAAAGTGTTGTCGTAGATAGCAGATACATTTGGTAGAGAATTTAATAAACAAACAAAATCAACAGAAATCATGGCAGGTATCAGAAAATGAGTTAGTAGCAGTTATCTTACTTTGTTTTTGAGGGTCTTGGTGCATTACTGAAGAATGGAGGTTCATCTCTGGAAAAGTCACTCCTTATAGACAGACTGCTGGATATCGGTGGCTCTGTACTGTCCTCTTCTTCCTCCACACAAACACTCATATTGTGGATTTTCTGAAAGGTAAAACAGTAACATTGATTATCAGCTCAGAACACAAGAACAAAGAAATGTTTGCACTTTTAGGGACACTACAGATTCATGTTCATCACATTTCACTCCTCCTTAAACCTAACAAAGATTCAACCCTACCATCAAGTTACCATCTCATCTCTCTCGTCAACGCTTCAGGCTGCACTGTGCAAGGATTCCAACTTTCCCTTTCTATTTTTGTATGTCATCGAGAACACCAGCATCAACGGAATCCAAACACTAAACACACAACAGTCCCCCACCACACCTTTGCTCCCTTCCCATATCTCTGCTGACTTTGACTTTGACTTTGACTCTCATACACCTTACAGGCGTCTTCCCTTGTTTTCCCTGTGTTGTCCTGTCAATGTTCTTTCTTTTGTCTTACAATTAAAAAACTAAATACTTGAATTAATTTCCTGCCAACTTACCCTAACCCAGAACCACTGACCCAAAGACTTACTTTTGTTCCCAGTTTGAATTTTTTCTCCAAAAGTACTATAGAGAACCTAAGTCACACCCACACACACATACACAGGGCTATTCATTTCTCAATTTATGTGATCGACGAGTTGTTTGGTCCATAAATTGTCAGGAAAAACAAAAACAAAAAAGAGGTATTCAGTGTCATAGAGGACTGAAGACACCAGAAGTCAGAAACTTTGGACATTTTTTCTGAAAAAAAAATTACTGAAAACAACTAATCGATTATGATAATAGTTGGTTATTAATAGTTAATAGTTGACAACTAATCAACTGATTGTTGGAGTTCTACACACACACATGCACAGTCACACATGCACACAAACCAGCCAGCAATCCACCTCACTTTCCTTTGAATCTGTTTGTATTCTTGGATTACGGTATTATGCAGTCAGTCACAACTGTATGTCCACTGTTGAGTTCATTCAAACAGTTCTACAGGCCTTAGGCAGAAAACTGACTCTGAGACTTTGTTAATAAAATGATAAAAATGTTGGAATAACACTCACCCTTCCTTCTGCTCTGTCGATGCAACGTAGTCTGAAAGGACTGGCTCAACACTTTGATCAGTTCCTCCCTTATCTTATGTACCTGGATCAACTGGTTAGTGTTGCTCCTCCTCTCTCCATTTAAGGTGAGTTTTATGTCTGTGTGTGTGTGTGTGTGTGTGTTTTTGATGTCAATTGCACATTATGACTTTAAACATGCTGCTGTTATGTGTTCTCTGTGTCAAATTCCTTGAGCACCTGCTCCACCTCCTGTGTATGTCCTGCCCTGCAGAGGCAGACCCATATACTTTAATAAAATAATTTTTCACTTTATTTTAAATCATGTTGTTGTTGCTGTGTCCCGTACGGTTGTTCGTCATTGTCCTGTATTGTTTTATGACAATTGACAACACACACAAGTTTTGCTTTTTACACACTGGATGATTCATTCATAGCATTGAAACGTTTAGAATAGGTTTCAGAGACATCGTTTGGAACTTTGTAAAACCATAGCACTGATTATCCAGATAACCCTGGTGCGAAAAAATGTAAAATACCTCTTACGTAGTGGATAAGGGAAAACTACTGCATATTTTGGTCAAAAAAACCTGATCGTTGCAATGTCACACTGATGCCTTATCATCAGGCCTGGGTCAGGCCATACATTAGAGTAATAAATCATCAAGATCACACATTATGTTTGCTGTTGCATGACAGAATGGGAAACATGCCCTTGTGTATTTTATCTAATCCAGGATAGATTCTACAGACACATCCCTCCAGGTGTCCACTATTGCCTCCAGCACATAATAAACTAGGGTGACAGGGATTTCATCTGAGATTAGTGGTCTTTGTAGTCACCTTCCTCCCTTATCTTGAAGCTTCAGCATTGTTAGAATCAATTGGTCCAAAGCACATGGACATGTCTCTAGGCCCTTTTTATTGACCCTTCAATTCTGATTGGTGCGTTAACAATTTTGAGGCTTAGTGTTTACACCTGGAGGAAGGTGTGGTCTTTGAGTTTAAGCCATGATGACTTGAGTTATATTGAGAGCATGTGTTTCCTGAACAATCACATGCACTTGCAAAAAACGTTTTGAACGAATGATACTGAAATGTGCGGAAACAGGTGAACAGTGTTATGGGAAATGTGTGTGTGTTTCGGGAATGCCATCTGGGTAGAGGGTTTGATACAGGAACAGGTTTTTGTGTTTATAGTAAGCAATCAGGGAAAACTGTGATGCTCGTGGTGTCAGAATCCCACATTCTAGGGTAACCTATGGGTGTATGTTCAGTTGTCCGCATACGTTTGGCCAGGTTTGTAATAAAAATATATAAATTAGAAATGAAAATTGAACCTGCTTCTCTCCTCATAAGAGAAAAAAAACCCACTAGCCTTCTCTTGCTACCACGCCATATTCTTCATGCCCTTCCAAGCAGATTTAATTCTGCCAGAGGTAAAGTTCTCCTCTGCTTTCTGTGATTTTTTTGCCATTTTGCTTTCCTGTATGACCCCTCTTTTAACTCAAATCTGAGCAGGTTTTTCTCATTAAAGCTGGCTTAAGGGACTTGGACACCCAGGGTTTATTATTGGGGTATAATTTGCTGTAACAGGGACCCAATGGACATAGTGTAGTTTTCTCCTCACAAAACTGAATGTAGCTGCTAAAAACATCAGCTTGCTGGGTAACATTAGAGGTAATGTTTTTGAACATTTCCCAGTCAGTGCATTCAAACCCGAGTTGCAGGCACTTGGTTGATTCAGTTGTCCATCTCTGAATCGTCCAAGAGACAACTTTTTCTATTCGTAATGCCATTTTGTATGACGACAAAAGGAACACACATGATCAGCCGAACAAAAATGGAGGTCTCGGGAAAGCTTTAAAGGCATTTGGAACGATGCTGTAGCATAAATCCAGTGTTTCATAAGTAATGTGGGGCAGTCAACATACTGATGGAAGTTGTCAAGTTAGTTCTTCCAGGTTTAAGTGAAGTGCATTTGGAAAACGTGATCAGAGATTGAGAACCACGTTACAGATAGCGTCCTTTGCTTCGTCAGCATCTGCTCTGGTGGATGTCAGGGGCGTACCCAGGCGTTTTTGACTGGGGTTGGCACAAGTAGGGCACTTGCTTATGCAGGGGTGGAAAGAGTGTCTCAGGTTTCCAGTCATTCCCAAAAAATACTGTTAATGCAGAAATATTCACATATTTTTTTTGCCCAAAATTGCATGAAATTAGCATAAAAAAGTGGGCATGTCTGCAAATGGGAGGCTTGTGAGTACCCATATAACACATTTTCATTCAGATATCTTGAGGTCAGAGGTCAGGGGATATCTTTGAAAATGGCCATGGCAGTTTTTCCATTACCAAAATTTAGAATAACTTTGGAGTGTTATTTAGCCTCAGCACACTAGCATGACATGGTTGGTGCCAATGGATGCATTAGGCCATCTTGTTTCATATGATACCAGTATCTTCACTCCAGCCCAATATAACAGTGTGGAATGAAAGAATGGAGCGACTCTTGGTGTGGCCAATCAGATTTCAGGGATGTGAAACTCAGGCCCCTCCTCTGCACACACCCCTGGTCGATGTACACCACCGGTATAAAAATCTGTGGGAAACTCCATCAGTAGAAGGAATGCACCGACACAGTCAGCAGTTCAATGTCAGTACACAGACTCTCCCGCACAATCACTGCTTTACATCAACAGCCGTTGACATACAAACACCCCACCCGCCCTGATATTTCCCCGTGACGGAAGGAAGAAAGAAGGAATGTGCAATCCTCTTTGCAAATATCAGGTTTCAGACTGCTGAGGATGTTGAAATGCCGAATGTAGCCTACATTGTCAGACTAGTCAGAGCAGGTCATTATCAGCATTTAATAAACAAAGGCAAAGAATCAAACACCAATCTGTTTTTGTTAAGCTGTGTTTTACTCCAGTGATTTCCACTGTTCTTCAGTTGCATTTTGAAAAAACATAAAGATCTTGACCAGTACAATATCAATATTTGAGCTTTAAAATAACCCGGCAACAGTGTCTGTGTTTTTACATAACTACAAACTGCAGCAAGCACATTGACAAGATCCCTCCAATTGAATAATGTTCTCAAAAATAGTAAAAATGTTTTGCTCCCAGTTGCAGTAAAATATGTAATATTTCTTCTCTTAACACACTAAAGGTTTATTTCTCTCAAATTTTGTTCACAAATTTGTTGAAATCTGTGTTAGCGAGCACCAGCACCTCTCCTTTGCCAAGAAAAGAAGATGCTGATTATTAATTATTTATCTGGAAAAGATACATTCATTAGGCACTGAACTATGGCTATTTCACATAGGGCTACAGATACCAATATTATTTTCCAGAAGGTGATGACCCGAGGACTTACTTAAGACAGAACTATAAAAGTATCTTAACAAATATTAAATAACATAAAAAAATTATTTAAAAAATAGGAAGATATTACAGTATCTGGTGTGTAAAAAGTGAAAACAGGCAATAATAATCAGTGTACCCTTTTGATTTTAACGATTGCGTAATTACCACTAACTTTGGCATGTACATCAAGGAGGGTGGTAGTTGTATAACATAAGTATTCATAGTGCAAATAGTACTTTGTACTAAGATAGATAAGAGACAATTCAGCAAACTGTTCATGAATTCAGAAGGGACAGTTTGAAAAATGACTGCATCACTGATGGGGTTGCAGTGCCCTCTGCAGGGAAGCAACTAAAAAAACGAAGAATATCATTTCCCCAATAGAAAAAAAGTGTAGTTTACAAATTATTGAACTCTGAATAAATTATAACAATTCAAGCAACACATATTCAGTTTGACATACAGTATCTTTCCATGAGGTGTATGGAATAAAGACAAAATACAGAACAGATAATTAGCTGGGTAACAGAAAAAAAATACATAATGAATATATCGTACAAATAAAATCATATATAAATAGAACAATACATAATATATTCAACCAGGAAGTCAACTGAGATTGAAATCTCTTTCCTGAGGGAGACCTGGTCGAGCCAGCAGACCAGTTACAATTTAAATAGAAATAAATGACAGAGAAAACAATGTCACACACACAAGCAAAGGACTAAAGCCAGCTCAAATGAGGCAGTTGCATTTCTCAGTTACATAGAGTTATAACATGGCCTTAAATTCTTCCAATGAGTCCAGATCATGACGATGCAGTATGTTTTGCACATTATTCCAAGTCCAGGGAGCAAAGTAAGAAATGGCTTTTTTCCCCCAGCTCTTGAAACCTGGTAAGAGAGACACCTGGTGGCACAAAGCCGAAGACTGCCGGAGTTCTACATACAATATTATACTTTAACACACAGAGCTTTGTCTTTCTAATTAGCCAGAAAAAAACATGCATTTCTGATACAGGATGCTTGGTTACATTAGAAATGTGGGTTTTCACATGATCCTATGTTGGGATCGAACCTGAGCTGCTGAGGTAAGGCCTTTGTACATGGGGCACAATTAAATTTCTTGCAGGCTTCACAATTAGTTAAATTAAATTTATAATGAAATATTCCTATTTAAACAAGTACTCACATTAATCATCAAACTCCCTGATGGAGGCTAGACACGGGTGAGGATGTGGGGAAGATGACTGAAGATCTGCATGGCGAGTGGACTCGGGCTCAACCTGGGCAACTGATGTGGCTAACTCAAGGTGTATGGGATGGAGGATGGTAACAGAGAGAGAGAGAGAGAGAGAGACTTATGAATGAATGAACATAAAGATAGTCTTCCTGATTTAATCTATGCTAAGCTTCAGAAGTATTTCCCAACAAAACACGATGTGTAAAATTGGTGCAAAATGTAGGCATCTTAGCATTTGGACGGAGTTTCTCTTAACTCTGCATCTACTTTTAGTCTGTTATGGTAAATGTGCATAGATGTGTATAGATTTCACTCCTTGTCCATCTCACATGAATTTCTTAATGAAGGATTAACTCACATTAATTTATCACAGGCAGCCTTCAGAGCAGCACAATGTTTTCGTGGTTGTTGAGCATCTTGTATAGTCACTTAGGCCTGAAGTCTGGTCTCTTTCCTGCAAAAACACAAATGAAGTGACC